AAGCCTCAATGAATAAGCCAAATGATTTATCCAGAATAAATTGAAATGCCATTGGTTTAATTTAGTGTACTGGGAGAACGTTCCTAATATTGAGTCCAAATGGTGTGGTTGTTTTAAGTAAAAGTTCAGTAGATATATGTATTTAATGACTAAGTGTTATAGGCCAGGGATAAGTATATCTATTCTATAGACAGGTACACAACCTGTCAATCTGTATGTTATATATTATGATACTGGTGGTACTGCTAACACACTCAATTACCAGATCAATACATTTATATAAAGTTGATATACAGAAATTGTATAGAATATATATTTCTCTTATTTGGAATATACATAATACTAATGACTCCGTTGCTTATTATATTCATATTTCCTCTTTTTAGGATGACCCAAGAAAACACAATGTTCAGGTTGACGAACTTGGACCACTTCCAGTAAGCATTCACATTTTTTTTCTGTTTAGTGCTTATGTTGTGCTAATAAGACATCTGTCCCGAAGATTCAGTATTCAAAAACAAGTGTTAAAACTGTTGTAACACCGCCGTCTTTGATTAAATATAATTTGTAGAACTTGAGGTATAATATGAATACCATGAGTAATAATTATTGCTTGGTTTACTAATTTTACTTTTTTTTAAATAATAATATGAACAGTGATTTTTAACAATATATTTGGATGATAATTTTGTTTGGCCTTACAAGGTTAAATAATTCACCATTCTTCATATATTGTTTTTTGTTTATAAACTACATAGAATTTTTCTTGACCTATTGGCAATACATTCTAGACAAATATAATAGTTTGTGTTTTATAAAATAAAGTGAGACTGTTATAAAGTATATCAATATATTATATACAAAAATGATTGATTTAATAATTTTTACTTTTTCATGTAGCATTGTGATATTTAAGCCTAAGGTAGAGAGACTCTATTTTCTTCTGAGCCCACACTGTTGTAGATTCCAGTGGTTTTTACATACATAAAAAATTCCCCCACAGAATTGAGAGTCTTAGAAACATGAAAAATTGTACTAAATTACAATATACATAATGATTGATATTGATTGATTGTTGTTTTTCTCCAGCCCAACTGGGAAAAGAGAATGCATGCCGATGGTCGAGTGTTCTTCATTGATCACAGTAAGTTTACTGTATATTCTCGTGTATAAAGGCGATCCGCCTATAAGACGACACCCCCCTCCCCCTCCCATTTTTGGACAATTTTTGGGTGTCAGTCTTATAAAATGATGCCCCGGTTCCAACTTCGGAATTCCTACTTTTTGCTGCTCTTAAACAGAGCCAGATGTAGGACTAATCCTCCAAATAATGCACTTTTTATGGGTTTTTAAATGTTCATCAAAAACCTTATTTCCCTGCATTTTAAATTGCGTTCATTCATGCTAGTAGTTAGTAGCTTCATTTTGCCTTTCAGTATATTTACCTTTCCAAATAATAGACGCATACATGATAGCTTTGCAATACTGTATACTTTGCAGACATTTAAAGCTAAAATAGAAACTAAATTGTTTGCATGTGTGTCCAATTGAAAGTGAAATAACTTAATCAGTGCTTGCAATTAAACTATTTAAGGTTTAAATTGGATGTTAGAGTATATATTCTTATGTAGTCACAGTTTTCTTTAATGCAACTTAAATGCTGTGCATCCAAAATAGCTACCACCCACATTCTATTTCATTGTTGAAATATTATAATTTGTTCTTACTCTCTCTAGCTACAAAGAGTACGCAGTGGGAAGATCCTAGGATAAACATAGCATCAGTGGGTGGTGAGGTAAGATATAATTTTGACAATTTATAACATTTTGCTGTTCACATCATCTCTTTCTTTAAATATTTTGAACTGACAATATTTAATGCACACTTATAATGATAATAATTATTATGGTTTAGTAATTGCTATTATTTTTATATAGTTAATTGTAGCATCATTGAAATGTCAGTATCACCTTACTTTCAAATTGTCCTAGTTGTATCCCTTTACTTTGCATTTCGCTTGTGTCCTTGACCAAGGCACTTTATCTGCATTGCTTCTCTCCACCTAGGAGTATAAATGGCTACCTGGTGGAATGTGCCTGCTCCTGTGGTGATTACAGTAGCATCACCTCAGCATGTAGACACTATGACCTTAGACACAAGCGCTTTATATCGGCAAACAAAGGCGGTATAAGTAACCAAATAATTAAAAATAAATATTTTTAAAATTCTATCGATGGACCGTTGTAGCGTCTGACTTGATCAGGACATTATTTCATATAATAGATTGTGTTTCCTGTAGCATGTGGTCTTGATTTAGCAGCATTGTTTTCTTTTTTTTTTAGCCTGTACCTTATTCAAGAGATTACAAAAGAAAATACGACTTCTTCAAATCACAGCTCCTTAAGAAAAAGTCATCCGGCACCGTAGGTTTACATTAAAAAAATCTTACAGTTATTATTGAATGATTTCTTACAATTTCCATGATAAGATCTCTTAATTTTTTTTAAAACGTAAGTTTATTTTTCTTTCTGTAGGGTGAGGCAGAAATTCCAAACCGCTTTGAGATGAAAGTTTCAAGGAATTCAATCCTTGAGGATTCTTATCGTTGTATCATGTCTGTAAAGCATCCAAATCACCTGAAAGGAAGGCTGTGGATTGAGTTTAAAGGGGAGGTTGGCTTAGACTACGGAGGTGTTGCAAGGTAGGTGAATTTGAGAATGCATAGATGTGTAATATATTACTTGTATCTCTTGTTGGATCCAAAAAGAAAATGAGAAGCAGGGACAAATGAAAAAATAAAATCATATTTAAGCAAAATCAGTTCATTTAATTTGAATGGAACAGAAATTTTTGTAGAGAATAGAAGCCCATTTTAGTAGCTATATGGCATGTAAGTGTCTCAATACATGTACATACTAATGTAAGCATTGCTCTACCAATTTTTTGAAACATCGCATGTAATTAAAAATTCATCTTTGTTCCCAATAAGGAAATTTATTCAAATTAGACACATCCCTATGTGCAAAATGTTTATTTAATGTTACAACCATTTAAAATTACTTATATCTTCTGTTATAAGCAAAATCAACATACATTTTTTCCTGACTGCATCAATGTAACAATCATATCGTGGGTATTCTGTTTATGTACTTAGGAATTCATTATAGGTTTCCAAAAAGGAACATATTAAGGTGTTTGTATATTATATGTAAAATTTAGTTGTTATTAGTTATTTGCTTGGCAAAAGTATAGTTCAGGCAATTAACTGCTTCTATACATTTATAATTAATAAATTTCTGTCTATTTTTTCTTTAATTTAGAGAATGGTTTTTCCTGTTGTCAAGGGAAATGTTCAATCCGTATTACGGTCTTTTTGAATACTCAGCCACGTAAGTAAAACATGAAATTTAAATATTTTTTTTTTTTAAGCAAATTATTTATTTTTGAATGACTGGCTGAAGACATTAATCTCATACGATTATTCCAGTTTAGTTGATTTTAAGGATTACTACAGCAAGAACAGCAGCATAGCTTAGTTGGCAATGCTGTTGATGGTTAGCCACTGTGTGTGCACTAAACCGTGAAGAATTATAGGGTGTCTGGTTCAATTCTATGCAGCTGCTCAACTGCTAAAGTGCCATATACAACATGATTTTATAACACACCTTTGAGGTTCTGTCTTGAACATCAAATTTTCATTGACAAAAAAACTGTTGTATTACCCATATATAGTCATGACGTTCCTATATATGGTCATGATGTGATGTCATCATGACCATATTTAGGCATATGTCGCATGTATTTGCCAAATAAAATTTGATAGAGTGTATATGGCTTACGTTAAGATGTTTAATCTGTTTATCCCATGTGCATCATTAATTCTTGTGTGTATGTAAAGGATTCCGTCTTTCCTTTCCCAAAGGGATAACTACACATTACAAATCAATCCGGATTCAGGAATATGTAACGAACAGCACCTAGATTACTTTAAATTCATTGGAAGAGTTGCTGGCATGGCAGTTTACCATGGAAAACTATTAGATGGTAAGTAATGAATATTCATAATTATGTAATGAAAACATTTATAATGTTTGCAACATTTCCTGTATGTTAGGATTATGTTCCTAATAATTCAACATTTTTAGTATTCACATATTGCTGTTTTATATTTAAATCAATTTCAGAGAATTAATTTATTAGACATAATGCTTTGTAATTTACTACTGTTTGCAGTTGCATTATTTTTACGAGCTAAACATTATTACCAAAACATAATAATACAATAATAATAATTGTTTATTTGTCCTCATTCTAATCGGAAATTGAAAATTTGAGTTTGGCCCTGGTGAACTGTGGGAGCAACAGTGCAGTACCACCAGACTTAACCACAAACATATAACGGGAACATAAATATGTGGCGAATGCAAGCTAAACCAGTCACTTGTCGCAAATCCTGTTTCAGAGATAATAGCCAAAACATCCTGGAATGTCAAAATTGCTGAAATCTGTTTTATTACACTAAACTAACATTTACATATCTATATATCATGCTATGCTCTTATTTTCTCCATTTTCAATATTAAAACAACAATTTTTAACGATTTAGAAATGGTTTCTGCCTGAGAAATGCCCAAAATCATAAATTTCAAAGGTCGATTTCTCAAATATTATTTTTTAAACAGCTTTATGTTTAAACACTTGTAACTGTCAGATTTAAATGATTCTTTTACCATTTAATAGCTCTCCTTTTACTGTTTAACTAACAATCTTGGACGAGTGACTGGTTTGGCTTGTCTTTGCCGCATATTTAAACATTGTCCTTAAACTGCCTAATTCTCAATGCTCACCGGGTTTGAACCAGGATCTGCAGCACAATGAGTAAGAACAATATCTCTCAGCCAACTGCTCTGCTCATATATGAGCATAGTTAAGATCATTAGCTTTTTTTCACATATTATCTCTTATTACCTTTGAATATTGTTTTCTTGTTTCCAAACTAAAAGATCTAAATAAGAAATTATATTTCAGCATTAGTTAATGCACCATACAATATGGAAAATCAAACCAGAGTGTGTTTTTTTTCAGCATTTTTTATTCGTCCGTTCTACAAGATGATGTTACAGAAGCCAATAACATTAAACGATATGGAACCTGTGGTAAGTGCGAATCAGTCATAATACTAACATTTACATATCTATATATCATGCTATGCTCTTATTTTCTCCATTTTCAATATTAAAACAATTTTTAACGATTTAGAAATGGTTTCTGCCTGAGAAATGCCCAAAATCATAAATTTCAAAGGCCGATTTCTCAAATATTATTTTTTAAACAGCTTTATGTTTAAACACTTGTAACTGTCAGATTTAAATGATTCTTTTACCATTTAATAGCTCTCCTTTTACTGTTTAACTAACAATCTTGGACGAGTGACTGGTTTGGCTTGTCTTTGCCGCATATTTAAACATTGTCCTTAAACTGCCTAATTCTCAATGCTCACCGGGTTTGAACCAGGATCTGCAGCACAATGAGTAAGAACAATATCTCTCAGCCAACTGCTCTGCTCATATATGAGCATAGTTAAGATCATTAGCTTTTTTTCACATATTATCTCTTATTACCTTTGAATATTGTTTTCTTGTTTCCAAACTAAAAGATCTAAATAAGAAATTATATTTCAGCATTAGTTAATGCACCATACAATATGGAAAATCAAACCAGAGTGTGTTTTTTTTTCAGCATTTTTTATTCGTCCTTTCTACAAGATGATGTTACAGAAGCCAATAACATTAAACGATATGGAACCTGTGGTAAGTGCGAATCAGTCATAATGATATTCAATTAAAAAAATTAATAATTCGAAATGCAATGATTTTATAGATACATGTTAAACTTGCTCAAAGAACAGAAGAATAATTAACCCTTTAATCTTGTATATCTTATTTGTTAATGACAGGACTCAGAATACTATAACTCATTAATGTGGATTAAAGAAAATGATCCTGAGGACCTGGACCTAATGTTTGCTGTTGATGATGAGAGTTTTGGCCAGGTGAGTTCCGCCATTTCAGATAATTTAAAAAATGGCTTTGCAGTGGCTTTAAAGCTCTGTCGATGATAATAATATTAGATGATAATTTATAAAGCACTAATATCACTGAACCAAAGTAACAATCAAAGACGTGCATGTTTAGATGTTAAAAAGGTGTGTTTTAAGTTTGGTCATAAAAATAGCAACTGAAGGCGAGTCGGCAACATGTTTAGGGAGGAAGTTCCAAAGAGTGGCAGCTGAAAATAAAAATTATTTCTATACTATCAAATTGTACTTACATACCTAAATATACTCATGATGACATCACCTGACCATATAGTGGCACTATCATGATTATATGAGTATACAACAGAAAATTTAATAATCTCGACAGATCTTCCACAAGTTACAATTACAGTAGAACCTCATTATATGAACCCTCAGTTTTACATACGCCTCGTAAGGAAGATGACGTCATCAAAACCTCCTAAATATCCAAAACCAATCGGCCCTTTTCAGGGCCACCATAATGTAAAAAGAGATTAGTTTTTTGTCTGTTTACTGGATTATTTCAATACTATAACAATAAACAAACCATATGCAAAGTATTTGCATTTCAAAAGCAATGTTGATTGTGTCTAATGAACACGCTGTTATAATCTAAAACCACATGGTCTGAGCTACATGAAAAACTACCCATGGTGCTCAAAATAATTTCTTTCCTGCTTAGCTTCATGTGAAAAACTGGGTTTTTTGAAGCTGGGTAGGCATAATTTGCATATGAACTCTATTTGTTGACTCGCCCAGTGCAGTGCACATGGTCTTGTGCAGGTTTTTCTCAACACGCCCAGACAACACCGCAACTCTTGCTTAGAATAGCCATGAAGGGGAATTCCCAAGTTATACCTTTGTCATGGTAATCTTACAATATTTTCATGTTCTTTAGTTAAATGAAAGATATTAAGTGATGAATTAATACACTAGACACATGATTTTATTTGAAAACTTTATTATGACATTGTAAAGTATTGAATGAAAACACTAAACACATGGTCCCATCTGTAGGCCTGCCATCTAGGCCTAGTAACAGTTGTACGCTGCAGGCCTTGGAACGGGCCTTGGTAACATCGTTTGTTTCATTACATGGGTTTATTGAGTTTTTAACATACATATTAAGTCAAAGGTCAACACAAATTTAACCTAACCTCAATTTTACGAATCCCCCGATTTACATACGCCCTCTGGTCCTGTACCGTATGTAAAATCGAGGTTCTACTGTAGTTGCAAGTCCATTCTCATTGTTCGATGCCTGTTAATATATGATTGGCTGTAGTCTTAAGCATTTTATTACATTTAACATACTGTACTATACAGTAGATATTCAAAGTACAGTAGTACATCAAACATATTAAGCCCACCTCCATGCAAATGAAACGTTGATTGAGCTTGCATTATCTTACTTAATGACGAGTAAATGCAAAATGTAGTGGCATGCAGTTGCAATACTTGATAGGTATGGCCTACTGTCACAATGGTGCCTAGGTAGCCCAGAGACAGGCCTACCTTCCTAGTGTTTCTATCCTAGCTTTTGATGTAATTTATTTTATACTTGGTTCATTTTAATTGACATCAGAGAAACATGGTGTAGAATTTCCTTTGCAAAACTGAAATTAAAAAGTGTGCTTATACTAAATTATTACTGCAAATAAATTGGTATCTTTCATTATTAATCTTCTAAATATGTATATATTATTAAACAAAACAATTATTTTTTCCCCAGACACGTACAATTCCATTGTTGCCACATGGAGGAGACATACCAGTAACGAATCAGAACAAGGAAAACTATATCAAGCTAATCATAGACTATAGGTTCATAACTAGGATAGAAAAGCAAATGAATCAGTTCATGGCGGTAAGTTCATAATTATCAAAAAACAAAATGTTTTTGAAGACCATTACATATGTATATTTTCATTTCATTCTAGTTAACTTTATTGACATGAACAAATACATATTTTTGTTTTGGGGGAGGCAATGGAGGAAGCGATGGGGAAGGCGATAGGGAAGAAGGGGTAATCAAAAATAGGCATCTTGTTTTGAAAGTTGGTTTTTTTTTACCCTCAGGGTTTTGCTGAGCTAATTCCAATTGAATTAATGAAGATTTTTGATGCCAACGAACTTGAGGTAAGGTATATTGTAGATCGTAGCTTTCTGTAATATTGCACTAAATATTGATTTAGCCTTCCCTAAGGAGCACATCTGGCTGCTCCTTACTGATAGATAAAGGTCGCATCCGCCAACTCTGAAGCAACAACACTGTAGAGATAAAGCTAATCTATGGTTTTTTTTGAAACCACACAGATACCAAAGCTACTCATTGAGATAATCAACTAATATTTTCCACGCTTTTATTTATTTTTGCTCTTTAGCTGCTACTTGGTGGATTAACAGAGATAAGCGTTGCTGATTGGAAGAAGAATTCTGCATATCGTGGTGGTTACTACGACAACCACATAGTGATCCAATGGTTCTGGAAGGTATTACAAGCTAATTTCATTCGAAATTAGAATATTTTTCAAATTAACAATTTTCTTACAGTGAGGACCACCTCTTAAAAGACCATTATTTCCTTTGGCCCAGCAGAGCAATTCCTGTCTTTTAAAGCCGGTTACCCAATGCGTACGATGGGCGTATGACCATCGACGGCTGACAAACCCAATTCTGCTCACCATGAGCGCTAGATGCAACGCCGTTTGCTGATTGTTGGTGGCAGTATGAACTGATCGTCATTAAAAATGATCCGTCTCACGCGTTGTGGCATCACCTCGGCCGATGACCGTCGCATGCAGTGAGTGTCCAATCTAACATTATACCCAAATGCTGGCACAATGGATCATTCCATTCAGAGACCACAACTTCTTTTGCACCAAGGGTGGTCCCTTAATTGAGTTTCTACTATATTTAAATAATGTTTGAGAATGCTCGTATACTCTCTGTGACTGTTATTCCTGCTTTTCCAGGCGGTTTTGACCTTGGATAATGAGATGAGAGCTAGGCTATTGCAGTTTGTCACCGGAACATCCCGGGTACCTATGAATGGATTTGCACATCTGTATGGAAGTAATGGTCCACAACTATTCACCATTGAGAAGTGGGGAACGCCTGCATCGCTCCCACGATCACACACTTGGTAAGATATTCAAAAACTCATTCAAAACTTTGTCCATGTCTAACCATCATAAACTGCACCCTCTTTTCACATACATTTTTGTACTGAGGGCTACAGTATGTTCCTTTCGAACTAAATTATATAAGGCTTGCCATTTCAAAATCAGTGTACTGTCGCTAATTGTTAAACTGGGTAATTATTGTATACTTAATACAGAGAAGCCATTACTCATAACTTTGGCAATAGTAACTTAGAAGAATATGAATATATTATGGTGAGTCGAATGGCCGAGCGGTTAGCAGGGGCGCCGCAAGCTATAGCCATAATATCGGCGCTGGTTCAAACGGCACGCTCGCCTATGGTTCTGGTGGTAGAACAAGTCTTCTCGGATAAGGACTATAAACCGTAAGCCCAGTGTATACAATGGCTCGTGTACACTATAAAGAACCCTGTACATCCTTCGAGACGAGTAGGGGGATACCCCGGTGTACTGGAACAGACAGCCCCTGTGGTGGACGGCGAGAGTTGCTGGTACCGGGTTACCGGGTAGCACAGACATGAAGGGACCCTTAGAGGCGAAGAAAGTCATTGATCGAGTTCCTAGCCCACATTTCAAGCGCCCTGAGCATCTTATATTAGATGGATTTGTGCGCTATATAAAACTACACTATTATTATATTAAAAAGTCAATTTCTATGTGTTTGTCGCTGATACTGGTTTTAGCATGGTAAGCCCCATAGGCCTATGTAAAATTGTTTCAAGAATTTCCCTCAGGCCCTGTGCACTTTCAGGAAATAACACCTCTTTTGAGTCTGTTTTCCCTCTAAACTTCACAATTTGCTTATTAGTAAGTCCCTATTACTAGTGTACCAGTAGATCAAAGATCTTATCAACAAGATAGCAAACTCTTAGATTTCTGCATGCAAATGCTGTAACAATGCAGTCTTGCCAAAATAAGTGTCAATCATCAATCAATCAATCAAAATATTTATATAGCGCCTAATATCCATGCTTGTCTAAAATGCTCTTGGAAAAAAGAAAGCCTAATAGATTGCTCCTTAACAAATTCACATGTGGTGAGTTTCTTATTTCAATGAGCAAATTATTCCATAAATATGGTGCAGTACTGGAAAAAAAATGTTTTCCATTAGATTTGAAGTGATTTTTAACTTTGACACAAAGATTTTTAAAACTGAAAACAACACATTTGCGTCCATGCGTACATTTTCTGGCACACCATCTTTCAAAAACAAGTACTCTACAAAGATCTTAAACCTTTTGATGCTTCTATCTTTATGCGTTACAGTGCGAAGTGCGCTATCTTGTTTTATCAAATTAGCACTGAATAATATATTTGTCTACGTTCAATTTTCAAACCGCAAAACTTTCAAAAATATTTTAGGGCATTTAATTAGAAATAATAATTTTTCTCTTTTTTTAGCTTTAACCGACTGGATCTTCCACCTTACGACTCATACTACACTCTACGAGAAAAGCTGAGGCTAGCAGTTGAGAACACCCAAGGTTTTGAGGGTGTGGATTAAAAACTCCTTCTTTTCACAACATAATATCAAATAAAGATATCTAATGTATAAAGACTGAGAAGAAATTAACAATAGTTAGATTTTGTATTTGTTGGTAATTTGAATAACTCCTGTTCTGTATGTATCTATTTATATATGTATATAATTTTTATTTTAAAATGATGACTGCCTTTTAAATCTAGGTAGATTGGTTGTAAGAATATATTTGATTATGTACAGGATTCCTTGTAAGTTGGGTAATGAATTTAACAAATCTGATATGCATGCATGATATTGCCAAAAAATATTTGTAAAAAAAATTGATGATTTGTATTCAAGTAGAATATAAAGGATGAAATTGTATATAGAAAAAGCATTGCAAAAAAAAGCTCTATTGTTCCACACAGTAGTGGATTGAGGACACAAAATTACTCAGAATGGCTTAAAGCTAGCCTCTGGAGGGAAACATTTTTTATTATGTTTTTATAACTGATTTTATAAGACACAAAAAGGGTGTTGGTTAATGGCATACAGATTTTGGAATATTCATAAACTGGGGGGAAAATGGGCATGCCAATCTTTTTTCTACCATATTTTTGCCTTAAAATATCAGTTGTACAACGTACAAGAGATTGTTTTCCTCATGAGCCTGGCTTTAAATATTTACAAGCTAAAAATAAAGATGATTTAATTTTGGATACTGTGAAATTGCTCCCCTCAATTTCTGACACTCTCGGCATTGAACAAGTTAGTTAAAATGTTTGAATTAAAAAAAAGTATTAAAAAAAAAACAATAACAGGTAGTAGTGATGCATGGGGAGCCATGCAGATAATTCAGGCCTTTAGAGAAAAGAACAAAAACTGTGGCAATGTACTCTTGTTTATGCAAATAAATGTTGTGGCAATTTAATTTTTTCTGATTTTGTTGGTGTAATTCTTGACAATTTTACATTTTGAGTGCCCCTTTTCTGCATTGTCATCAATATTGCGAGCCCCTTAAATGTGTTTTTTTTTTCCCCCTGCTTTACCTCCTTTTTGGTTGTTATTCTTCATGTTTTCACATTTTGAGGCTGCCCTTTTTTCATGCATAAACTTTGCAAGCCACTTGAACAGGTATTATTCCAGGTATGTTTCCTCCTTTTGTTCACATCCACCCAGCATCTCTCGATGATATAGTATACAAATAATGAATGTTTATGATTGCAATGGGAAAAATCTTTCAACACACCTAAAATAGATTCTTGTCTTCTGATATATTATGAAAAAAATTTATCTTTTTCCTGAATAGAAATTCTTGTCATTTGATACTTATGAAAAAAATCTACCCTTTTTCTAAATGGAACAGTTCAGTATCTTTTTAGCCAATCAAAATATTGTATTAGGTTGGAGAATTGTACCTAGATGCTGTGCAATAGAGCGAAACGGATGAAACGAAAATGCATGGATGGAAGTAAAAATGCATGGTGGAACCAATGTCACGTGATACAAAATTCACCAATCAAATGACAAAGATCTATTTAGGTGTGTTATAATAGTATTTGTTGGCTGAATTATCTGATAACATTAAAATCTCAGAATGCACCAGTTTACTGTGTGAGATTAATCTATCATAGATGAAAGTACTTGTGTTTGTTTTATCACACATCGTCCGTGTGTTTTTTGACAAACATACCCTGCAAAATGTTACTTACTTACACAGGAATTCAATAAAAAATAAGCTTGTCGGGTAAATTGTTGTGTTGCAAAAAAGTTTATGTTTATCTAATTACTGTACGTGTTAGTCTTAAATAAGGCTTTGCTTACACTATCAAATTTTATGTGACAAAAAAATGTGATGTGCCCATGTATGGGTACGGTCACGTCATATCACATACTATCAAATTGTGTCAAAAAAAGTGTTGGACTTTCATTTTCCATCACATTTTATGTGATGCTTTTTTGATGAAAGTTGATAGTGTAGACAAAGCTTAAAGGATTAAAGATCCAATTAATAATATTGATTAGCTTGGCCCACACTATCAGATGGTCTCTGAAAAAAGAAACCTGTTGTATGCTAATATATAATCATGATGTGCCCATATATGGTCATGATGGGATGTCATCATGACCATATTTAAGCATTTCACATGTTCCTGTCAAATAAAATTTGATACTCTGGGCATAGCTTAACATTTATACAAGATGGATTCCATGTGTGTATTAAAGACAAGGATAAATCAGGTTCCCAGGTTGGGAGAAACTACTTCTATACGATCTGGTTAAAGATTTTTTTTAAACACATTTTTGTGATTTGCTGTGTATGGTTATTTACAATGCCAGTAGAATTCAGGGAGACAAGTAATACCGTACAGTAGTGAAAACGTTAAAATATCATGAATTGTGTCGGATTGGTTAGTTTCTTGGACGTGTTTGCTTGCAAGAGTGTATGAGATCGTGCCAATTTCTGGGAAGGTTCCTGCGACTCTCTGACAAAAACATTTTGCTGTGGTTTAAATCCCTTAATTTATTATATTTTTTTTAAAAAGAATATATATGATAAAGTTAGATAAAACCTTGCCTCTGTGCTATACAATATTGTTTTGTTTTTTGTTTTGGGTGAACTTTAACATTTAACCTGTAACCCAGTCACAACAAAGGGTGCTATTGTATAGTAATACAAGTAATAAACAACAATATAATCGATTTGGCTGATATTATTTTCCAAGGTAGTTGTAGTAGGATATGTATATATAAGGCTATTGGTGGTATATCATGTGTTGATATGATGAATAATATATTATGCATTGAGGTATTTCATTGATATTATTCAATAGTAAAATATACAGTCAGTATTTTTTCCTATTATGCAATACAAATGCATCTTGTTTGTCTAATATTGTTACTGTAATGATAATGTGTTTTGAATTTAAATTATGTATGTAAATGACTCTCTCTTAATGAAAGTTTATCATGTGTTTTGTTGTTTAACCATCATCATCCTGGAATAAGATTTCAACTAGGCCTGCTGTGTTTTCACCTTAGTATTTCTGTAAATCATGTTTTTTTTAATCAAATTAATAATTATGGCTGTCATTGATTGAAGCTCCAAAACTGCCAGAACATTTTATTTATATTCCACTTCGTTGATTTGTCTCCCACATCCACACACCTTTCTTTACCTACAACTGTGTAGTAGTGCAAAGGTAGATATTCTGCACTGATAACGTGGTGTCTTAGTACAATTTGTTATGATGCTTAACTTTCCAAAAAACATGGAATGCTCGCATTTAAAGGTCATGCATTTCCGTAGTAAAAATACAGTTAGAAATTATACTTATGATTGATTACATGTGAACTTAGAACTCTTGTGTAGAAAGAATTATATTATGGTAGCGTACAAGCTATCCAAATTGAATTTAAATGTTTTTGTTTGTGTATCTTTTAGTTCATAAGGAGCATCCAAATGTATATTGCTTGACACAAGCCAGTATCGATATTGGAACTACTGTAGTATAAATTAAAAGTTAGAATTGCTAACTCGGGAATTCAAAAATAAGGTCTAGCAACAAGGGGTGGCGCCAGGATTTGCCCAGTGGGGGTCCGATGTCCCCGACGAGAACATAAGTGCGTGTGGTCAGGCATCATTCAAAACCTCTCGAAAGTGATCCAGGCCGTGAAGTGAATGTGAAGTGAATGTAAAAAGTACATGTACTGTAATTTTTTTTTCTTCTCGTCGAATTGTGTCCCCATACCCCCATGCACTACTACCCCTGTTTGCAACTATGAAAAACTAAGAAAATACATAGGAATTTATGAACACACATGTAAAATTGGTTAGTTTATCTGGATTTGGCTGATCCTTTTAGCTGATGAATATTGTTTAAGTCAAAGTAATTGTGCTGAAGCAGACAGCTTTGGTAGTTGGTATTTATTCTACTGAAAAGGCCTAGCCTAAAAACAAAAGTATCATATAATCTCATAAATAATCTATATAAGTAAGTCAATTGCTCTGCATTTGATGGATTCTAACATGCCTATGGGTAGGAAGATAGATCCGGGGTCTATTATTGTGATTTAATATATTGATTAAATTCAACTTTTATTGAGAAACTAGTAATATCACGCAGCCGACCAACAGCACAAAAACAATTGCAAGCATGGTAGACTTAAGGTATGAAATGATATTACATTCGAGGTAGAGAGTTATTACCTTACTTTGTGATGGTTGCCATAGACCTACAACTGACTCTGCCCTAGAATCCTATTCACGAAGAGAGCATTTTTAACTACTACTTACTGTACCTTCAACTATCAACTAAATTTAATAGCACTCTATGCATCAGCCTTGTAAACATTATAAACTAAATTTACTAGAATTATGCCCAACTTTCAAAACTCTTGTTTGTTGTCTGTGATGCCTTTAATAACCCCCATTACCTGTTACCTTAATTGTATCTAAAACCTATTATGTAGTCATAAGGCCTATCTATCTAATTCACAATGTTTTATTACGAGAATATTGAGAATAATAATTCTAAAAACACATCTTTGCTTAGGAATTTGGTTTAAGTTCGCATGATTAGTAATAATTATAATAGTGTACTGTACATTTATAATGCGCCACTATTCACCAAGGATGCTAGCACTTGGCTCAAAATAAACGTCGAGAGATTTATTATCAGTTGGTAATCTTAACTACGAATAGAATAAAAAATAATAAAAATATTGTGCATTCTATTATCCGATGATGTCTTAATTACTAAGGTATGGATAATAATCTTATATCGCATCCCTCTGCTGCCATTGTAGGTTTGAAACATAGTAATAGTGTTTACAATATACAGCATGCTTTTGACTTTGCGAAGGAGAATCTACTTTATTTTTGTGAGGAGGAGGGTTCTACTTGGGTGTTTCTGTGGGAGCTGGGTCCTTTTGCTTGGGTTCTTCTTGATTGGATATTTTTTGGTGTTTCATCAGGTGTTTTCTCGACTTAAGCTTCTGGTTGCACATGCTCACTAATCTTCGCTACGAGTTCATCAAATTTTCCATCATTAAAATTCTCCTGACTCGACTCTTTAGTGAAGTCGATGTAGAGAAGTTGAGTAAAAATCATACTCATTGGCCCTTCTGGTGGCCAGGTCATTTGCTGGAGGAGTATTGGAATGATTGGCCGACGTAGAGCATCTGACAGGCTAACCTCACGGCGGCAATTTGCTGACAAAGAATATTTTGGCGTAACACATGAGATGACTACCTATGATTAAATAAATACAACAAATTTAAGATATTAATGCACTCAATTTTATAATTTAATACCGTAGCATACACCTCCGTTTTCACTGCTAACGAGTTTAGTCTTACTCAATATTTAAGATTTTATATTTACAGCCTGTGTCTTTGCATTAATACTTACCTTTGCTTTACGAAGACCTTTGTCGATTTTACTATACAAAGGATCTCCCCCTCCCATCTGCTTAATGTCCAGCCAGCATGAATATCCCAGATATGTCAACCGCTGGTAAAGCTTCTTAATTTGTGGTTGATGGTCCCATTGGTAAGAGATGAAGACATCCGCATCTGTATCAACTGGCTGCGGTAAATAAAACGGGGGTAAAGTGGCAATTTAAAAGTTACTCAAAACAAAAAGAAATAGGCCTTCACAAAAGCAGTCTGCATCCAACAAATATTATATTCGTTGTTTTTTTTAACAGTGTTTTATGATCCGAAATATTAAGAGAAACTTTAATATCAAAAAAGAAAAAAATAACAAGCTCAGGCGTTTTAACACTACCTGATTCTCTTGTTTTAAGGAATCCTGATATTGATACTTTTAGTGATAATTTCTCTATGTTCCGTAACAGTGTTAGAAATATTTTACATATTAGGGCCACTTAAGCTGATATTATTATCACATTGTTATTATTATTATTATTATTATTATTATTATTATTATTATTATTATTATTATTATTATTATTATTATTATTATTATTATTATTATTACTTTTTGTATTTATTTTTGTATTCTTCACGTTTACTATATTTATGTATCCGTTTGATGTTTGTGTTCCCTCCTGTAAGTGTCGAGTTTTATGTTTGCTGTTGGCTGGGATAATAAATAAATAAATAAATAAATCATTGTGGGTTGTGATGATAAACTTAAATGAGAAAGATATGTTGAGTTGTGTCATCGGTATTGGAAGCAGCACACTTTCTGTACCAAAATTCATCTATAATTAATCTAAATTATTTGTATTTAAACTAAAACTTCATGCATATGGATTGTGCTAGATAAATGAATAGATTTTTCTGCATGGAGTGGGTGAGATCTCGAGATCAAGGAAAGATCACAAGGATTCACCCCACCAAAAGAACAAAGGTATAAAGCAGTTGATGTGCACTGTATTCTTTTTCTTTTCGGGAGTCGGTGTGCTCTTTTCTTGATCCACAATCACCTATTCACTCACGTATATGCAAATACATCAATTCGTTTATCCTGCATGTGATTGTATTTTTTGGTTTATTTATTGTTTTCGTTTACTGTAACAATCATCCAAATTTCATTTGTTGCGACAATAAATAATCGTATCCTAACTACCATCTATACTCCCATTTTGTGTTTACACAACGTCCAAACGGTTGCCTGACGTCGACATAACGGTGTTCAAATAATCTAATTCAAATATCAATCATCTAACCATGTATTTTACTCACCGCTTGAGATTCTTCCACTTTCTTTTCTACATTTGCCGTCTCCTCGCCTGCTGCTCGTTTAATTTCTTGTGGTGGCGCATCGACAGATGGCACCCAATTTTTGTATTCTGCAAAAAGGTACGTGCGTATAAGTGAAACAGCTGTAATGTCCAGGTATTTCGTACCGCGCCTTTTCCGGTGATACGAAGCGCTAACACATACAAAATGTCACCTGAAGGATTTTAATTTTTTTCTTACACTTACCATCAGTAATTTTAGTCGGGTCAGGAGCAGCATAATAACTAACTTGACCCAACAACTCTGAAAATTTGCTATCTGGCCAAAACTTCTCTCCTCTAACATATTCCTCTTTGGTAAAAAATTGAATGTAAAGAAGTTGAGCAAAGAGCATGCTCATTGGTCCTGCTGGAGGCCAGGCCGTTTGCTCAATAAGAATTGGTATGATTGGCTTATTGAGGAGATTTGCCAAATTCACCTGTAGAAAAAGTAAAACAAAAGGTAAATGTTCTCAAGACAATGGTCAATTAAAATACAAATAGTGTGACAATGTCTTTGATACAAATTAAAAATACCTTAGGAACTCTATTTCCAGTCTTAACATACATTTGTCTTTTCTAACATTTGGTAGTAAAACTTAAGAAATGAATTTTTTGATGGATGAAATGTACTGTATTTTTTTAAAAATAATTTTGCAATATGCTTACAGCAAAATGTATTGAACCTAAACATTAGAAAAAAAGTCAGTCTTCATTTATTTATCACCGACGGTGTAATGGACACACACATAGGTCTATTGTAACGGCATTTTACCTCTTTGTTGCAGTTTTCTGACTTTGAGTATTTATCAGTTGTCATACACAGAACCACTTTAGCGGCCCTCATGCCTTGATTAATCTTCGCGTAGAGGTTATCCCCACCGCCCATCTGACCAATGTCCATCCAGCAATCGAATCCTGCCATCTCCAGATGATCTCGAATAGCTTTTACCTCTGGTTGGTGATCCCACTGATAGCTGATAAAGACTTTTGGTGGTTTCTCTGAGATATCAGGTCCTGATTTTGGAACCATTGCATCTTTCAAAAGTTTAAATGACAACATACTATTACAGTACGGAAAAAAATTTCTATTGCAGATTCAATAATTCAAAGAAGTTGAAATTAAGCATTTTTTGTTGTACCTTACTAGGCCGTTGTTCCTGTTGCTGTTGTTGTGATGATATAATAACAAAATATATTAAAAGAGTAAACTACGTATTGCATTTTAATGATTTATTACAGACAAGCAATATCTACTACACTATCATTACGTTTGACTACCTGCTTGTTCTAAGGATTCTTCGATAATTTTCACAGCCTCTTTTTGTCCCATATCTTCCAAGGCCGTGAGTATAGCGTAGGTTGCGTCACTACTTTTATGCGTAGTGTACCACTCAGCTAGGATCGCCATAGTTGGATCGGGAGACAACGCCCAGTTGCGAATATCTTCCCCAGAGTAGCTCAGTCGAATTGCTAGAAATCTCCAATCGTAATCATCTTCAGGATTTAGGAGTTTAGAAACATCACGTGACCATTTAGGTGCATTGTTGATTGTCTACGAATAGATTTATAACAATAGTTATACTACATACTGTATTATAATGTAATGTTATGTAATGTAATGTTTAGAATTTAGAAATTTATATTCTAAAAATTCATAACTATA